GCGCATGTCGGTGCCCAATGGCATCCCAGACCCGGCAGCCTTGCACACAGCACTGGAAGAGGTGCGAGAGCAGAAGGCGCGGCAGCAAGCAGCGCTGCAGGCACGGCAAAACCGCCCCAAGCCTCGGTCGTTCGCCGTTTCCGAACATTTGAGTTGAAGTCAGATGTCCGTTCCCTGAGCACTTGCAGCTTGCAGGCAGTTCTGGAGTCCCTTTTCGAAGCTTCGGAACTGCGAGGTCTGTCCAGAAAGTTGAGCGCTGACTTTGGACAATTCTGGGCAAAATAAGAAAGGGGCCCGAAAGTGGATCTTAAGGGTTCCTTGGGCAGGAAACTGAAGCTCATTTGGAGGTCCCTTTCTTGGGTAATCCCCTTGTGTTTGGCTTTTAAAGAGACACGTCGACATGTCTGAACACACCCGGTCATGCACATTTTGTGGGTTCATTTTGGGAAGCTTCAAGCTGCTTCAAATCCAAGCCGCGCTTTGTTAGGGGTCTCCAGGCCGCAGGGCTTCAAGGTCAAGAGCTGCTGGCAGAGGAGCAAGCGCTTCAGAACCGGCTGGATGCTGGGCGAGTCACGAACGGTGCAGAGTTCTCCAACATTTTTTCGGAGTGAACTGTCGGAGATGCCGTTTTTTTTTCTTCCCCCCCAACAGCTGAAAGCTTTGGGGTCTTAGCCCAGATAGGCTCCGGGGTGGTCCGGGGCGGCCCTGAGGTAAGGTTCCACGAGGGTTCCACCAGGGTTCCACCAGGGTTCCACCAGGGTTCCACCAGGGTTCCCCGAGGGTTCCCCGAGGTTCAGCGAGGGCTGCGGGGTGGTGCGAGCACTAAACAGAGCACCGCATGCTATTGGGGATGTCACCTGAGTCGCCTTTTTTTTCAAAGATCGACTTTGGGGGAAGCGACAAGCAGGACTTCCGGCCCCCAAAATAAGAAAGACAAATTATGTAAATGCAGTCTCCCGTTCGATTCCCTGAAAGCCAACCGCGAAAGGGTAACCGCAAAAAAGGATCTCTGCCCATCTCTGCCCCGAGGAAGAGTGCCGGCACGAGCTCGCGGAGCACGCCCCGACTTCTTTTCGTCCGCGGACGAGCGTGGAGCGCCTGCAGCTGCAGAACCAGGCGGGGACGCGCCGGGATTCCTCAAAACGCGGGGTTCGCACAAGACCTGGAAGTCCATGGCAGTAAAGATCAGGAAGGATTCAAACAAATCCCTTTGTAGGTACATTCAACACCCGGCAAGGCAAGGATTGGTTAGAATGGCGGCTGTCGATTGAACCGTCCTTTCTCATTTTCTAGGAGCGCTTTTGATTGGATTTCATCCTTGGATTGCTTTTGCAATGATGTTTTGCCAAGAGGTTTGTGCAGTATTTGTAAACCCCGCTACGTTGGGGAGGACGTGTGGGGGGGCGGGACAACCCGATGTCCCCACAAAACCATGGGGACTACCCAATGTTCCCATGCGCTCCGGGGTGGCGAGTCGGGCCTCAAATACAAAGGACAAATGTCAAGGGCTTGTGGGCTCTGTTCTTGGGACATTTTCACAGACCGCCAGTTGGGATATTCTTTCTCGTGGTACCGCGAAGCAGCTACTGAGAACTGCTTCGCAGGTTGAATCGACGAACTGTGTGAAGCCTGTAATCATTTCCGGCAGTCTCGGAATTTCCGGGGGCCCACAATTGCTCGGTTTTGGTGTCCCATTAAAGGCAAGCCAAAAGCAAAATCCCCCCCCCCCACGAAAAAGGCACATCCACACGGGTGTGCGTAATATCATAGAGCCAACCAAAAAGATGAACTCTGGTTTCCCTAGCCGATTTGGAAGCAGAGACTCGTGTGTGCCTTTTGAGGGCAGCTCTTTGAGGTTTTGAAAGGACGCCAAAAGGAGAACCACCATTTTGGGCGAAAAATGAAAAGAACAAAGAAGACGAGACACAAGAAATCCACATCTTTGTCCCAGGAGCTGGCTGAGGAGTTGGAGGACTTGGAGCGGCAGAGTCGGGAGCTCTCGAGCCGAGAGAGCTTTCTGCGCAACGAGGTGGCGGAGGCGCACCACTTGGAGGAGGAGGAGGCCGCCAGGCGCGAGAAAGGCCCCAATCCTGTCGGACATGCCCCAAATTCAAACCCCGCACCCAAATAGCCGAATTCCATTTGGGGCGGAGTTCCCTTTAAGATTACACAAACACACCAGGGCGGGGTGAGGGTTTCTTCAAAATTCAGGCGTGACAGAAAACAGCTTTAATGGTTGGTTCTTCTTTTGGTTTCCCTTCAAAATGATTCCAAGAAGTGCAAAACTTAAAGGTTCCCAAGCCAGAGGGCAGAACTCTCGGCTCGGTTCGCATGGAAGCTCCTCCTTGAAACTTCCTCCATGTTTGCAGCCAGGTGGCACCAGGAGGAGAGGTGCCTCCGGCAAGAGCTGCAAGACGCGCAGCAGCAGGAGTCCTCGCTGCTAAAAGCGCTGCAGCAGAAGGCCCGAAGCGTCAACGAGAGGAACCAGAAGCTCCGGGAGGAGACGGGGCCCAGGGCTCGGGCCAGGGCCAATCAGTTAGAGTAGGCCTTGCCCATCTTTTTTTGGTACCCGAGCGTGACCCCCACCCTACGCAAGAACAGCATTGTTCAACCATTTTTTTATTATTCAAATCGTCATCCTTGTTCATTATGCATATTTCCACTCAAAACATTTCATAACAGTCTCAACCTCAAAATCCATCAAAAAAGTTACATTTTTCTCATTTTCTATTCCATCATTCTTGTCATTGTTAGGATGCTTAAGTGGAAATAGGAGTATAGGGTGGTTCATATGATATGGTTATTGATGGTAGGATGCATGGGCAAGGTTAAGCTCATTCAAAAAAAAAATCAAAAATAATATTGTTCAAAAAAGTGATATTTTCAAAAAATAATATTTTCAAAAAAATAATATTTTCAAAAAAATAATATTTTCAAAAAATAATATTTTCAAAAAAATATTTTCAAAAAATGATATTTTCAAAAAATAAATTTTCAAAAAATAAATTTTCAAAAATATTATTCCAAAAATTATGATAAATTATCTTACAATATTTTTATCATAAATTTTGTAGAAATATTATGGGCAAGGTTATGTTCATTCATTAAAAAAGAAACACAAAAACAAATTTTATAGAGTATAACTATGGTATAATGAAAGGTTATAAAGTTTTACAATGTTAATTTATATTATAATAACATAATATAAATAAACTGTCGCCCCAAAAAAGGGGGAACCCCACCTAATTTCAAGAAAAACATGCTGTTTTGTCGTTGGATTATTATCTATGAATAAACCCCCGTATCTTCATCATAGTCAATTTGATAAAATGTCATAGTTGAAGCCTTCGGTTCTTTAATTTCTTTGTTATTAAGTTTGTTTAAATAAATATTTCTTTTATTTTTATATTCACCATTGGTTCTATCTACTTCTTTACTTTGATAACTGTTTGTTACTGGTTTCTTCTTTTCCATTTCTTGCAAGATTTCTAAAATATTCTTATTCTGTTCTAAAACCTTGTTCAGTTTTTTAACAATCTTTTCTAATCCTTCATCCATGTAAATATATATATTATATTATAAAATAAAACTTTTAAAACTAAACTTTTATTTTACAAAATCATATATCATTATAAGTCAATTCAAAATTAGTTATTGTGTAACTCGTTAAATTATTATTCAATTTACCAATTAAATTACAAATAATAGTTTTTCTAAATTTTGAATATTTATGAAACTTTTCAATATTATCTGTAATATAAATTATTAAACATTTAATACATTCAAACACATTAACAACATTAATGTTACTATTTTTGTAAATATTATTCATTTTTCTCAATGTAATTTCATAAAACTGAATAGCATTTTTATTATCATAATTAGCAATAAATCTTAAAGTATATGAATATATTCTTTTACAATAGAATTTTAAATCTGATTGTTCAAATAAATCAGCATAATTAATAGAATTATAAAACATGTTAAAATCAATTTTGCTATTTCTAAAGTCATTAACAAAATTAATTAATATATCATTTTCGTTATATTCTTCAATAAAATTATTCAATTTCAATTCTTTTACATCAATGAATTTAATAATTTTATTTATAACATCTTGCATTATAAATAATAATAGAAATAATTTTAACTATTATTTTTCAGCATTTCGCGTATAGTTTCCTGAGTTTCCTTATCACCATTAACGGATGGTGATGCATGCCTTCCCCATTTGATAGCAATATTATGAACATCTGTTTCTAAGTTGATACTGTCTTTAGTTTTATCAATATTCATTTTCTTATCATTCTTACTTATTTTGAAACTGGTTGGAATAAACGAACATTTACAATGTCCTTTCTTTTGTATTTCTAATTCATTCTTCATTTCTAAGATTTTTTTACACATTGGACAAGCAAACTCAATAACTGATGTTTCTTTAACAATTTCTTCATCAGTCGAAGAAACAACTGGTTCAGTCTTGTTCTTTTTCTTTCTTCCCATCTATATTAATATTTATATTTTTAATATATTGTATCACAAACTTAATTAATTCTAAAACAAAATAGCATACTTTTTTACATCTATTATTAGTTATAACAACTTGTTCTATATTTTCTACTTTATCTATTATATCAATATAATCTGAATAACTTCTATTCATAAAATAATAAATATAAAATATTTTCTAAATAACTTTAATATTATTTTATTATGTCAGATGTTCCAATAATAAAACCAATAAACATAACTGAATATGAATTCAAACAATCTAAATATGAGCACGTGCCAAAATTACCATTTAGAAGTATTATAGCTGCGAGTTCGACAGGCGGTAAGACTGTCCTTATTCAAAATTTAATATTGAATGTTTATAGAAACTCATTTGCAAGAATATATATATTTTCACCCAGTGTTCATAACGATCCAACCTTTACAGAAGTTAAAAAGTATATTAGGGATGAACTACATGTAGATGATGAAAAAGAACAAATTTATTTTGACAATTACAATCCAATTGATATAGAAAATGTAATTGAAAGACAGAAGAAAATTATTAACTATATGAAGTCTAAAAAGATAAAGAAACTACATTCAATATTAATCGTGATTGATGATTTCAGCGACGACCCCAAGTTTTTAAGATATTCTAAAATATTACACGGTTTATTTACAAGAGGTAGGCACGATGCAATCAATGTTATTTGTTCTTTACAAAAATATACATCAATCGCAAATATAATTCGTGTTAATGCTTCTTCACTATACATTTTCAGACTCAAAAACATTACAGAACTAATGAGTTTCATTGAAGAAAACGCAGCGATAGTGGATAAAGACAAACTGTTAGACATGTATCACACGGCAATAAATAATTCTTCGTATTCTTTCTTTTATGTAAATCTAAATTCTAAAGACATTAACCACATGTTCTACATTAATTTTGAACACCGATTTACGATTACCGATGAATAATATTTAAAGAATACTTTATAATACTCTATAATACCTGACGATGCCACGTAAGGAACTAAACTACGATAAAACCTATTTTTATAAAATAGTTTGCAAGGACGTAAATATCAAGGACTGTTATGTTGGACACACATTAAATTTTAAAAACAGAAAGTCAGCACACAAAAGAACTTGTTATAATGAGAATGACAGAGAACACTCTAATTCTTATGTTTATCAATTTATAAGAAACAGTGGAGGTTTTGAAAATTTTGACATGATACTAATACAAACTGAAAGGTGTGAAAATCGTTTGGACGCGCTAAGGAAAGAACGAGAATATATTGAACAATTGAATGCGACATTGAATAAAACCCGACCAACAAGAACACCAGAAGAAGCAAAGCAATATAGGTTTGATTACTATGAAGAGAACAAGGAAGATATAAAGCACAAAAATAAACAGTATCGTGATGACAATGCTGATATTGTTAGAGAACAAACGAGAAAGTATAGAAACCAAGCACATGTCAAGGAATATATGAAACAGAAAAAACAAGGAATGGCGAGAAAATAATGAACAATATGCAGAAAAACGAAAGGTTAAATATTCTTGTGATTGTGGAGGTAGTTATACATGTGGTCATAAAATGAGGCATGAAAGAACAAACAAACACCAAGAATATTTGAAATCTTTACAACCAGAAGAAACCCCAGAACAATAATTAATAATATTAATGTATGTTAATATTATCAATTTAGAATAAAGAATAGCTACATAAATTTAAGGCAGGAAATTTATAATATGTTTTATCTTTTTTACATTCATTAACTTTTTCTAATTTATTTATTATTGCTTTCAATGAATTTATTTGTAGAATATCAATTCTTGACATTTCACTTATCGTATTTACATCTATATCTTTTATTACTTTAATAGCCTCTTCATCATCAATTTCTACTGGTTTTGATTTACTTGAACCCATTATATATAATATTATTTAGGTTTTAATTTTCAAAATTATATTTGTGTTTTTCTTCTCCGTCTTCTTCTTCTTCGTCTTCAGTTGGTGCTGGTATTTCTGTTGGACTTTCAGATGAAGAACTATGAACAGTAATAGGTGGCGAACTATGAACACTAATAGCTTCATTTGATGAATTGCTACTGCTACCTTGTGCATTTCCTGCTGTTATTTGATTAACTAAATCTGCGATATTTATTGTTGTTGCAATTGCGCTATGTGATAAGTTTAATATTATATCTGCTACTGTAGCGCCGTTGTGTAGCATTATTTCTATCATTTTTGTCAGTTTGAACTTCTTTTCTTCTTCATCGCTGTCCTCCTCGTCTGGTGGTTTCTTTGGCGGTGGTTCTGGTGGTTTGTTGTTGTCAAGCATTGTAGTAAAGGCTGACACCATTGTGTCGCGTTGGTTTTTCAGTGTTTGTGTTGCTTGCGTTCTTGTTGGTTCATGTCTTTTGTATGTGTTGTGCCAAAAGTTTTTAAGCATTATTTTAAACATATTATCTTGGTTTTCCTTTACCTTAAACGCTTCAAATGTCATATTTAATTGTTGATTTGCATCATTATATAACTTTTCTTGAGTCTCTCTGGTTTCTGTGGCGATTGTATCTGTATTGGTTGCAATGTCAATAAATTCTCTCGGTATGCCCTTTTTCATCATTTTCGGTGGTTGTGTTGTTGTTGGTGTGTTTGGTTTTGTTAGGTTATGTATTGAAAAACTGTCGTCGTGATCATAATTATCATTGAACTTCTGCTTCTTTCTTTTCAGTATATTTTTAGTTAATATTATCATTATTATTATTATTATTTATATTTTTATTTCTTACCTTTACCCTTAAAACTTGCCTTGAGTTCTTCTATTCTACCTCTGCTTAAATTTGCTATCCATCCGCCATTATCAATAGTGTCTAAAATCATATCCACTAAATATTCTTTGTATGTTCTCGCCTTGCCTCTTCCCTTTTGTTTCAATTCTTCTTGTATTTCGCTTTCTTCTTGGCACTTGAATTCCTCTTAAATAAAA